GGACGATAGTTTTACGTGATAACGTCATAAAGAAACATTGATGAAAAATTATCGTGCCTCTCTATCGATTGTTCCACGCTCTCGCTTGCACGCTTAGGCGGAATGGGACACTTTTTCGTGCGTAAGCGGTTTTTCTTGTTGAAAATTGTGTTGTGGCGGATGTTAGTGTCTAATAATGGTGGATTATTAACCACTAAGTATTCGGGAACACGTACAAGTGTTGGCAAGTGAAACAGAATAGCGGAAAGTGTCTTTCGACGTTCCCTCAAGAAGTCCACGGGGTGGTTCCAATAAATCCCCACACTTTTACTGAAACATAGGGAAAGGGGGATTGACTTGACTGCCACTTACTTTGACTTGATTTATTACTTTGACCACGAGTGCTATATTATTTGTAAACATTTTAACACTTGACATTGGCTAAATGCACAAGCCTTGCGAAGCCATTTAGAAAAAAAAAGAATGTAATTGTAAATATTTCGACATTAAAATGATATTATTGCAGACTAATCTCTTTAAACAAGCACTAACTTTGCGGCGAGCCCGACAAGAAAACTTTATTTGAATCGAAGTAAAATCCTGAAGAAGTAATTGTTTTAGTAAGTTTAGTGACAGTTTAAAGGGAGAACAACAAGCACTTGAGTCATTTCATCTTCGCAAATTATCCTGCATAATCGAATCTTTCAGTTCTTTGTTTTTACCAAGAACTGATTGATATATAAATTAGGCTCCAATTCTTTCAGTACATACAAGATCAAATTACGACCTCCGTGGCCGAGTGGTTTGTACGCCGGGTTTCATGGTGTCGCCGACTCGAGAGGTCCCAGGTTCGAATCCCGGTGGGGGCAGATGTTTGTGTGATGAATACGAGCATTTGTACTCCAGTCATGGATGTTTTATATGTATTTCTATATAAATATACTTATATATATGTACAGTATATGTATTCTATCCGTTACCCTAGTGTCCCATAACACAAGCCTTATAGAGCTTCTTTGGGGCTAGGCTAATTGGTGTGTGTTGGAAATATTTATATTTATTTATTATTAATTTACTTTATTAAAATTGGGAGCTTAAGATAACTCTTTTGAATCGTAAAATTTTTTCCCTACCACTTGTTCTAGACATTTTTAGCTAGGTAAAGCTAAATAGGTAAGTTTGTATGTTTGTTACTCAATCACGCAAAAACTACAGAACGGAATAGGATGGAATTTCCTATGCAAATAGTTGATGACCTGGATCGAGACATAAGATATTTTTTTCTCGAAAAAAATGTTAATGTTAACGCAGACGAAGTCGCGGGCAGCTGCTAGTTGATCATAAAACAATCAGCTTCACTTGTTTAATTAGTTAATTGTACTGAGTTTAAAACATTGAAGACAATGTTTCAGTTGCATTTTAGGGGGTTCTCTTAAATTGTACCCGTAAATAAGCAAGCGATCATCTTTTATGCCGACCTCATGTAGAGTTCCGGGAGGAAATTAAATAATTCCTATTCGCCGCTGGTAGAAAATAAAGTTGTCGATACCGAACCACCAGTCGAGAACCATAAATCATATAAATAAAATGCTTTTATTTCGAGACATGGTCTCAAATATGTTAGTTACAATTTTTCTTAACCTATGTTAGTATTTCATTATAATTTCAATTTCAATCATCATTCTTATAAAAATAATTAAAATTAATAATTTCATTTTTTTTTAAATTTATTAATTTTACTGCACCCTCCCCTCGGCCTGGTCACCAAACATGTAGTTTGATGAACTGACCGAGCACAGGGGAGTCCATTCTATTTGCTAAAATCATCATCATCATCAGCCTATTAATTTCCCCACTGCTGGGGCTCAGGCCTTCCCTATGGATGGAATAGGGAGATTGGGCCATGACCCACCACGCGGGCCCAGTGCGGATTGGCGGGTGCTAACATGACATAATTTGACATGACATAAACATAATTTGCTAACATACTCTTACTTAATGAACGCCTTAAAGAATGTAGTAAAGTTAGCGCTTAAGGAGCTTAACACTTCGTTGTTGCTATAAATTTACTTAGCTTGGGATGCAAGTGTAGCTTAGACATTATATAATCCAACTAGCTGGGCCCCGCGGTGCTACCCGCGATTTATTAGGGATATTTTCCCGCAGTCAAACGTAGCCTATGTGTCAGCTAACTCCATACCAAATTTTATTAAAATCGCTCCAGCTGTGTAGACGTGAAGAAATAACAAACATATAAACTCACAATTTTCGCCTTTATAATATCTCTTATCTATTAGACAAGTCCGTCCGTCCGTCTGTGGTGCTATTTCAGCAACCAAACCGTAAGAGATAGATAAAGAGAATATTTAAGTTATAAGTTAAGAATAGTCTGATAAGACTACAAACCGGATTTGAGTAACGTAGCACTTCCGGTTTTCGAGAAATCAGGTTTTGGTGAACATTTGGTTCACTGGTTTGCTAGTTATATATATTGTGATAATACAGACATCAAAGGTGTCAAATTTTCTCAAAGTATTGCATATATCATGTGGAGCTATGCATGTTCTTTTGGAGATTTCTGCCACATTTGTTTAACTTGCTATGCTATTAAAAAGAAACTAGACCTATCCCATTATTTAAGCTATCGATGTTAACAGCTTGTTGAGTAAGTATTGGAAAAAAAAATGAGAAGCCACAAAGTTTAGTTTTATTCTATAAAAGTTTGTTTTGAATAATTGTTTAACTTCATGAAGGGGTTAGTTTATGAAGTTTAATATCTTTCAAACATTTAAATAATAAACGCTTAGAACTACTTAATGTCTATAACTAAAAAACCAAATTAACTTAATACCTACTCAAATAATTAATACAATTTACAAATTAAAAAAATATGTCAACGTTTCTTAGTCCACACAATAATACAGTATTGAAATAAGAATCATATTTACGAGAGTCTTATATGTCAGACTGAAGCTACGCTGTTAATTGACCATGATTGACATCTGCATTGTGTTATTATCAAACTTTTCTTATTGTGTAAACATTTACCTGTCTGTATGACGAGTACTTAATTGGCTATTGTATTTCGGGCATTCTTTATCGCTATAATAGCTACAATTAATTGCTTTTGTGTGACACACGACACAGAATTTCTCTTACCTCACTTACAGACTTCAGGTATTTGTAGGTAATATTTGAGAAACTGGCGAACAAAACGTTATAATTACGTATCTAGTCAAACTAATTTTTCTTACAGTCCGGAGGTTTCGGGCTCTTTGAATTTGAATCTATATATATAAAACTAAAAGGTGACTGACTGACTGACATAGTGATCTATCAACGCACAGGGCAAACTACTGGACGGATTGGGCTGAAATTTGGCATGGCATGCAGGTAGATATTATGACGTAGGCATCAGCTAAGAAAGGATTTTGATCAATTCTACCCCCAAGAGGATAAAATAGGGAATGAAATTTGTATGAAACTTTGTCAATTTTAAACCGATCGGGCTGAGACTGCATGCAGATATAAGAAGAATCATAGATGAATGTCCTTGTGTATAATACAAGCCTGAGAAAAAAAACTGTAGTCTACACTTCAGCTCTACACCGAAGCGAAGCGAGGGCGGGCTGCTAGTCCCAAATAATTTTCAATCAAAACGGCCTAAAACAGTGTTAAAATTACTAACTTTTGAAATTGCCAAAAGTAGGCATGTCATTCAGTTTTAAACAGCTTCTGTAAATGTTAATTTTATGTAATTATACCGTTTTGTTCGCCAGCTCCTCATTTGTCTAACGAACACAAAAAAACTGTAATCAAAGTTATTTTAACATTTTTGAGTGCTGACGTTAAACTGAAATTGTTAGAGACATCGTACATAATTTAAATTTCTATCATAATCATACGCATTGTGAAATTGTATTACAGCATTTTGTCCGCAACCAAATTTGTGACAATTAAATCAAGCAGTGCCTTTAACGCATTCAATTATCGCAATGTTTTATCATTTCATAGCTTGTATACTTAGCATTTACTTCAGCACATTATAGTACTTAATAGCATATTCAGGCATAGCATTAAATGTAGGTAAGCACCCTGCAGAAATCTTTTATTTTATGTAACAATTGAAATCGCAAGTGATGGAGTCCCGATATTGGCTGAAGGAAGAGCTTGCAGCCAGTACCAGACTCTGCCCTAAAGACCACTAGGAGGCTAGCAGGCTCAGCCACGCTTTCAGAGAAGCTAAAAAAAGATCACTGAAAAGAAGCAAACCGAGTGGCTTGTCCATTTGATAGAGTACGTGGATGGCTTATATTCACTTTCAATAGCCGCCTTTTTACTCAACAGCGCAAGCAGGGCGACACGCAGACAGGTCGTTTAACATTATAGTTATTAACAGGATTGTTACCATGTACCTTTTTTTTATGAGTCTCCGATATTTACTCCGTGATCATGGCGCTTGCAACAGTGCCGAAATATCGGAGACTCATAAAAACAAGGTACATGGTAACAATGCCGTTAATAGCTATAATGTTAGAGACCATGAAAGTTTAAAACAATATATTGATTGTTTAACAGTCTATATTTTGTGTATGATACGCGCTTTCAGGAGTACGTTCAGGAGGGTGTGCGATTGAACGCGAAACTTTCACCATAACGTGCATTTATTTTTTACAGCTAGGTCCGACAAATGATTCTACTCCACCTAATGTTAAGTGATGGATGAGCCCAGATGCGAAGCTGGCACAGCACCTTGCTGGCCTGCATTTTTTTCCCATTTTCGTTTTCCTACTTACTTCTATTAAACTATACTTTAGCTAGTTGCAGGTTCCTCGACCACAGTGCGTGTCGGATAACTGGTGCAGGAGAATAGTCTGTGGTTTTAGTGGGTAAGGTTTTGCCCATTTCACTGAGCCCACGAATTGGGTGAAATAGACGGGGAGGAGAATTATTATCCTCGTTGAAACTCCCAGTGATTCCCTTTCCCAGACATAAAACCAAAACAGTTCAATAATGCTTACCTGAACAAGCTTGCGGTGGTAGAGGGAATATGAGCGTGGTGGAGGACTTGCGCCTGGCGACCGCGCAGCCCAGCGACTGCGGCTTGAAACTGCGGAGCTGCTGCATGAAGTCGCTGCACTCCATGAGCGCGACGTCCGCGAAATGCAGGTCGCACAGGATCTGGTTCTTGAAGCGCCGGGCACGCTTCTGTACAAAAAACATTAAAATAAATAAATATTTCAAATGTGACTAACGGGATTGCTACCATGTAAGTCTAAAGGTGGTTATTGACCGGCGTTACTGGCCGTAATGTAAGATGTTATGCTGCGTTTCCAATTAAGCTCAAAACAATTCTGAAAGAGCCAAAATTTGCCAGCTCGGTAAATGGTAACAACAGAGGGAACGAACAAGTTTATACAGCAATGTTTGACTGGACTCAGGGAACGAATGCAGCATGCATGAGTCCTCCTCACCATCTCTTATCTAATAGACAAGTCGGTCCGTCCGTGGTGCTGTTTCAGCGGCCAAACCGTAAGAGATAGATAAAGACAACGTTTAAGTTATAAGTTAAGAATAGTCTGATAAGACTACAAACCGGATTTGAGTAACGTAGCACTTCCGGTTTTCGAGAAATCACGTGATTTCTATTTCAAACGAAACTACACAAAATCTCCGAAGTTCTCAATTCATTAAATACATTTTTTTTTGGTGAACATTTGGTTCACTGGTTTGCTAGTTAGTCTATAAATGCGACTGTTCTTCGTCTCGGGCAAAGTAATTCCCTATAGAAGAAACTATTTTCTATGATTTCTGAGCACCGAAATGATCGGAATTTGTATTCCCACTGTTTTTATAAACATCATAGAATATTACACAAACTCCTTTAATATTATGTTCCACCGATTATTATCTGACAGACATCCAGAAGTTTACTTATGTTAATAGAAACATGAAAATTATTCAACAGTTCTTCGAAGTTTGCACAGAACTTAGAATGGAAAGGGTCTATTATAAACCCCTGAGGGGATTACATTGGACATAAGTATTTATAGGTAAACATCATAGATCTAAGTAGATTGAAGTAGACGTGGCATGTACTTAAAATTCTATAGAAACTGAGCGTGTCAGATTTTGGGTACTCACAGGAACAAATAAGTGGTCGAAAAACATGGGCCCCACGCATGTAAAAATGGCGGATTACCTGTTTCAATTATATAGTTTTTACAGCTTTATATGACAGGGTTAGATATATTTTAAACATTACAATTGACATTATAGCTACTGTGTGTAACTGAAAAGTGACTCCGTGATCATAACTCATGCAACAGTGCCAAATATTGGAGATTCGCTAAAACAAGGTACATGGTAAAAGTCCCTCTTATAACTATGAAAATTTTAAAAAATATATTACAATGAGGATCCGTAACGATTATAATTGAGAATGCAAATTTATAAAGCTATGGATTCCATAAAATACAGTGGTTAAATTTTTGTTTTACGACAAATATTGACGAAGTTATGGCCAAATTAATAAACGAATTTTCGGCTGGCCGCGTGGTGACTGTGACGTCACAGAGCTCTAGCGCTCGGGCGTGAGCGTGAGTAGAGACGCTACTAAAGTTCGACCGGAGTAAACCACCTATAACCATAAAAATAGTTATAAAATCGCAACGAATGAACCGATTTCGATTATTTAAAAAGTATATTAATTAAAAAGCTTATTAGATCATTATACTGTTGATTTTGAGTTGATTTGCTGACCTAGTAATGATCCTCATTGACGTCTGGTATCGAGAACGGAAGTGACGCAAAGAAAAAAATTAGTTATCGAGTTTTCTATTTCGATTTATGTCTGTGGTAAACAGTGTTGCTATGAAGTTTACGAACAATACTCGAAAACTTTACTAGATAAGGTAGGCAGTAGCGACTTTAATACGACAATACCATGTAGCATTAAAACTCAATATTTATTTGTTTATACTACCAGTGCCCGAAACTTCGTCTGTGTGGAAAAATTAGTTTCCTATACAAACTCTCACCACCCTTTCCATCCCCTTAAAGGCTCTTCACCAAATTTTATCCAAATTGGTTCTGTAATTCTAGCGTGAAGAGGTGAACATACAGAAACACTTACGCATTTATAATATTAGTATAGATTCATATAGGTATATATACATCATAAACCTAATTGTCACCAAACTACTGATTCGAAGAAAGTCGTAGTTATATAATATGTTTATTTATCAATAGGCATTAAAACATAAAAAAATGGCGGTGACACTCCTGGAGTGCCGACAGAAGTAAAAACTCAAATAGCAAAAAAACACAAAGCAAAATGTCAACAAATATAAATTTAACTCATCTCAAAAAGTACCCAACGCGCCTAAAGAAGTTTTTACTACAAAAAATAAACAAAAAGTTCTAAACAAAAAATAAACTTATATGCCTGTCGGGTTCAAACACAAAAACTCTTGCGTTCAAAGGAGCGTTTTTGCGTTAGATCAAGCCACTACATACAACATCGGGCAATATTAAAATAAACATACTTATTGGAGAGGTATCGGTCACGATGATATGAATTCAATGGTTTTGTTCCCATCTCGAAAACTTCCCAAGGCGGCTAGAAGTTTAAGCTTAAAAAAATGCAAGAATATGTGAAACACTGATTGTTACAATTTTTGCCACAAGTTGCTGAATCAATTTGACAAATTTCGGTATAAAGATATATACAGTAAGGTTTCGGGCCTCCTGGACCTAACTTATTTTCTAATGGAGAAAATATGAATAATCAAGTAGTATTAGTGTGTACAATGAACGTATACATACTCGCTAATTGATGCTGTGGGCCAATTTTTAGGTATCAGGTGGCACAGAATGAACGTATACATACTCGCTAACTTGTGCTGTGATTCAATTCTCAGGTAATTCGCTAACTTGTGCTGTGGGCAAATTCTCAGGTTCCGGTGGCACATACTGAATGTATACATACTCGCTAACTTGTGCTGAGGGCCAATTCTCAGGTATCAGGTGGCACAGAATGAACGTATACATACTCGCTAACTTGTGCTGTGGGCCAATTCTCAGGGATCAGGTTGCACACAATGAATGTATACACACTTGCTAACTTGTGCTGTGGGCCAATTCTCAGGTATCAGGTGGCACAGAATAAACGTATACATACATACTCGCTAACTTGTGCTGTGGGCCAATTTTCAGGTATTAGGTTGAACACAATGAACGGATACATACTCGCTTAGTTGTACTGTGGGCCAATTCTCGGGTATCACGTGGCACACAATGAACGTATACATACTCGCTAACTTGTGCTGTGGGCCAATTCTCAGATATCAGGTTGCACACAATGAACATATACATACTCGCTTACTTGTGCTGTGTATCAGGTGGCACAGGTAGATAAAAAATTTACTATCTTTACTTAAAGTCTGAGACTTGATTTTTATCTATGATATTTAGGAGACTATAATAGTGTATTTTGTAAGCTGCTAGACCAATTGTAGGGGCCAAAAATGAGCTAAACGTATTTATAGTTCCACCGTGAGTGAGACCGCATTCATGGGCAGCGTGGCAATTTGGTGCTAATATTGCATATTAGAGCCGTTTATTTTTTCAACTATCCGTTAACAGTTTGATGAGAAACTGGTGTGTTGTTTTTTTTCAAAATACATAGATGGAAACTTCGTGATTTCAATTTTACATAACTATCACTACATAATCTCACTGTTTATTGAAATTTTAACACGAAAAAAACACTATTCAAATAATTAATTAAAAATTTAAATACGGGTACTAAAATTTGACAAGTGCAATCTTCAGTGTTGCCAGTCGAAAAACAAAGTTTTCTTAAATAACCTAACATTAGGTGGTGCATAAGGCATAGGAGAAAATGTGACGATCGTAGCATTTCAAATTTCGCCGTGTTACCCTCCAACTTTCATGCACGTCGGAAGAGCTGCACACGCATCCCACACATACACACACACATATATAGGGTGTAAAAAATCCTATGACAAGGACTCAAACTATGCATTCTGTATACCCAAACAAGCTATATTACAAAATATTAAACATGGAAAAAATATGTATTTTTATCTAAAGAAAAGTTTACTAGAAAAAAAATTACGCGGACCAGGCAGCGGATGGGACTCGAACCCGCATTCTTCGCTATCCGGGCGAATGCGCTGACCATTATGCTACCACGGCCCTATTTTCTAGTAAACTTTTCTTTAGATTTAAACATCTAGGAGTTAAATGCTTAAAAAAAAACATGTATTTTTATGTTAAAAAAAAAACATTTTTCTATTCCAGTATGCAATGTATAGCGCGGAGCGCTTCTGTTGCGCTACGCAAAGAATGTGTATGTGTGTACGTGTGTGTAAGTGCGTCGATCTAAAAGTTTCTAAACGTTTAGAAAATATTAATGTAAAAATCTTGAAAAAGAAATGTGACTTTGACCTTCAATATCTTCATAACAAGAAATTTCCCAGGTATGGTCCAGAAGAAAAAAATGATCGTCATAATGAGGAAAATACTTGGCCTTCGACTTCGTTAAAGGTTTTTTTACACCCTGTATATAGTTGTGTGATGCTCTAGATGAGTTTCCGTTTCATCTTTTCCGTACGATTAATCCTTTTACACCCCGTCCAAAAAGAAGTTTAACTTTAATAATAATAATAGTAACTATGTAAGGGAACATCAATAATTTTACGCGAACTCAGTCACGTCGACCCACTAATTACAAATAACTTTAAGAGCTGGGTTAATCAAGGGAAATGCTTTATGAAGCATAGCGGCAGAACCCATCACTCCAATTAGCAACGCGGTGTTAATAAAACCTTTGAAAGAGAACTATAAACAAGTATAATATGTGATAGAGCCATTAAATTACCTATATCAGAAAGAATAGGAAGTTTTATTATTTACCGAAGAGTAGTCACGCAATTTCTTCTGACTCGGATTTTGAGCAAAATGTGAGCAGGATCCTCACTTTTTGCTCAGTCCGAGAGAGGGAGAGACATATTAATTGCACGAGTATTTACATTAACATAAAAAATAAAATTAGAAAGTAACTTAAAACTATAAAAGTAATACAAAGGCCCAATCTCCCTATTCCATCCATAGGGAAGGCCTGTGCCCCAGCAGTGGGGACATTAATAGGTTGATGATGATGATGATGATGAATACAATGG